CGGGCGGTTGTGGATGATGGTCGCTTACAAAGCTCATCGTAAAGTTGCCGCATAAACATATTTTTGTTATTCTTTTCATTGTGTTTGTCTGTCCGCTTGTCTGTCTGGCTGCGTGTTATTGTTATTTCAGCTTTACGTTTGTGCTTTGGCAATAACTTGTAAGTGTTTCTAAACAAGCACAAAGTCATGTTTCAACAGATGTAGTCTGGCTGCAGTGGTTACTGCTGTTGTTGTTGTTGTTACTGTTGTCGATTGTTCTTCTTGGCTTTAATATCTCATGTTTTTTTTTTTTTTTGATATGTAACGTATATATAAACGTAAATATTTTTTATTTCTACATCTATTTTCATTTTCTAATGTTTTTGTTTTCAAACTCTTATTGTTGCTTTCGTTGCTTTCCTTGGGTTTGTTTTGTTTTGTTTTACTTGAAACGCACATACACATTGATATGTGCCTAGCAAATTCAGTGCTAAACTCAGCTCACATTAAAGCAATTGCCAACGTTTATGGACTGATTTAATAGAAAATAAACGATGTGAGTTAATGTGGAGACAATAACGTACACACACACATAAACACACATACTTCGATATTCAAACAAAGTGAAGTGGGTGTAAGTGCAGCTGAAGTGAATTTGAGCCCCAACTCCAACTTGATTTTATTGCTAACAACGGCAAATGGCAGTACGACAGCAGTACAACAGCAGCGACAAAAACAACAATTACTGCGTGATGCTTACTCTAATTTCAAGAGCTTTACTTTAGTCAGAAATTCATTTAATTCTCTTCCGACTGGTTGACTATGGAGTACGCTTATACAAATACATAAATATTTATGTTTAAGTGTGTGCCTGCCTATGTGTTGGAATGTTTCATGAGCTGCAGAATTAATAAATGGGTCGCATCGAAGCATACTGCAAGCGTATAAGTAACGATATGAGGCGGGGTAATGAGGGATGGATGCCTTTCTGTTGGTTGTTGGTTGTTGGCTGTTGGCTTAATACTAAATACCAAACTCATCGCAATACGAGGGTGAAATTGAAGTCTAAATAAATAGACATAGTTAAGTAAACACGCGCTTTGAAATTGTGTATTATCCAAATCCTTATGAACTCTAACGAAATTAAAAATATATAAAACATTAAACATAGCATAGGATATTTAATTCAATTTTTCCGGTTCGAGTTTTTTTTTCCAATATACAAACATTTTTCTTCCTCTTCCATTTAATACAAGTGCAATTTAAATGGAGAAAATGTTTACCCACAATCTTTACAATTTATATCTAAAGAAAATCTCACTAAGAAAATTGACATTCTGCAGATTTTTAAAAATATTAGGAGTTCATATTTGATGACTTACTCATTATACATTAATTTAAAAAAAAATAGAATTTGGTACATACGTGAGTATGGAAAAGAAATGGGTATGGCTTTCACGAAAATTAAAGTAGGGAACTTTGTGAGATAAAATATATTTGATGTATGCTTTCGCAAATATTAAAAATTATGTAGGCTAAAAGTCAATGTGTGCAGAAACAAAAAAAGAAGAAACTGTTAATAATATTACATATACAGTAAAAGTGAGTTTTGAAATTAAAAGTAATCACTCTTAAAATAAAACATTTGAATATGAAACGATATTCGTATAATTTTTTTTGTGACGCATCAGGTGTATGCATAAGATTTTTCCCGTTAAATTATGAGATGACGTCAGTAAAAGCACGAAGTATATATTAATTTGAAACATACCTTCTTTTGTTCAACTGACATTAAACCACGAAAACACAAGTTGATTCCGCCAAAAACTACCGTTGAACTTTAAGCCTGAAAAAGAACATTTGCGGTACGCATTGCTTTTCTTATTTAATCAATAGAAAAAGGCAGTTGATAGTCATTGTTCGCTGTTAGAAATACATGGTCAACACAATTCATGGATTAGAATATGTGAGACATGGTTTCGACAATTTAAAAGTGGTGATTTCTATTAGTAAACGCGCTAGTAGATTACAAATCTATTATAGTTCTTCTATAGTTGTTGTATGATAACCCAACTCAGACTGCTCAGATTGTTGTTGTATGATGACTAAACTCAGACTGAACTGCCACAGACTGAACTGCCATTGGTAAAAACATAAAGTGTATCACAAGAAACAATCAACAGATTTTTATGAGCAATGAGGAAGATGTTTAAACTGGCTAACCTGGTCCCTCACAGTTTGAATGAATGTCAAATGACAATCGTAAAGTTACTCGTTAAATCATGCTTTAACACCACGCAAAAAAAAATCGTTTTTGTATCGAATTGTGACGGGTGACAAAAAAAGCATTTATTTTGATTTATTTAAATCACACTTTGATCGAAAGACGATTTAAATGGGTCAAAAGATATGGTAAAAGGTTTTTGTTACACGACAAAGTACCGTCTTACACAGCAAAACCAATCACAGACCAAGACAGACAGACTTTGAAATCGCTTGAATAGGACATCATTCTGACTATCACTTTTTCGCACTAATGTGGCATACGTTCGCAGAACAGCACTTCACTTACTTCGAGGAATTTTTTCTGACTTATCTGGCATGGTGTTTATAAATTATCTGTATGATAAAGAAATGTACAGAAGCCAATGGCTAATATTTTGAATAAAAATATTTTTTTCTCTCAAATTACGTGTTTACTTTACTAAAACAAAAAAAACCAAAAGTGCAACTGGTGTTTTAATGCAAGACAAAGACATTTAATCATTACAACTAGTATACCATATATATGGTTGGAAGTTTGCTTGGTTGCAGTAGAAGGTTGGCACGTAACTTCTGGTTGACTTCAATTAAAAAATTTTCGCCATTTTGCTACTACATTCGTCACAAAAAACTTTTAGATACAATAAAGCAAATTCGACAAGAGAGAATACTTTACAGTTTTTTTTTTACTATAAGTTTATCCAACTACTACAGTTAAAAAAAGTTTAATACTTCGGTATAATAAGGAACGCGCAGTTTCTCTGCGACGATTGCTATACATCAGAGAGAACTGAGTTGCAGTAATGCGATCTCTCTTAATAATATTCCAATATTCCTAGTCTATATATATACACTTAAATATAGACTTATATAGAAAATGATCTGTGTCTTTCATTCGTTATTGCCAAGTTGACGAAAGTAGAAGTAAATGTTTCTGTTCACGATCGCAACATAAACCCGTACTCTAGAGTACATCTAGGGAAGCACCCTGGTAGATCAAACTGTTAGTATGTAATAAGTACTAGATTTCGTTAGATGACGCGACTACTTTTTATCTGAGTAACCAATGTAAAATTTTTAATAGGTTTCTTCAGCAGTAGTGAATTACAACAAATAAATTGTATTATTTTTATTTAATTGAATTTTTGGCTGACAATACAGTTATTTTAAGTATTGCTAAATATCCATCATCAGTGATCTTTTCGGAATCAGTTTTATAATAAGTAAAAGTTTTATATTTTATAGCTTGGTACTTGAAGCAGAAAAATATATAGGCATATAGCATAATCGAAAAGGTTATTCAGAATAGCCGCTTTTATGTGAAGTTTTAGTCAAATTGTGGTGCCTAGAAATATTGTTAACGCGATTTAAATTTTAAATTGCATTGGAAAATAATTATCTGTACATCTATATTTTAGATTAAAGCAAGTATATCTTAGAGCTTACATTTACGTTGGACAGAAAAGTTTCTGTGTTAAACATTTTTTTAAAAATATCAAAAAATCATGCTCGAAACGCTGTAAGTAATAAGAGATGAGAAATTGAAATTTGCTAATTTGAATTATCACAAATTTGATTAAACACATCAAGTTGATATTGCAATTTAATCCTGCGATATTTGATCAATAATGAATACAGTATTATCGTACAAAATACGAATCTAGTTACTTTATTAGCAAATTTTTAATTTACACTTCCCATGCAAAATACCATAGAAATTTAATCCAATTCTGTCATTTCTTTACTGGATGAATTATTTCACATTTCGAATTTTGGTTGGAATATCTGCTGTCATGTTGTATCTATGACTACAGGTATTTATTAGCAGGAGACTCAATAAACTTAAGAACAATTTATTGAACCCCACAAACAAGCACACATGTAGGGCAATTTTCGACACTGAATATGAAAATTTGTACAAGAATTTGTTTCCTTGCAATCGAAATTATAAAACATAATCGCCTCACCGGGTTTGCCTATTTGCAGTTGCCTTTGGCATAATGAATGCCATGAGAACAATCCAAAGTACTGGTGTCTCCTTGTTAACGTACATGTGCTTAGCTTATATATGTATATACACTGTCATGTGATTTCAGTATATCTGCTTGTATACATGTGTGTGTGCTGTGTGTACGTATGTTAAAACAAAAAGTTTATTGCTTATCTTAAAATGAATGCACGAGTGTTCCATAGTCTATTAATTCACCCTTGCCGTTTCATGTTAGCTGCACCCTTGACGGCATTTTGCATACCAACCCAGTTTAAAGTCCCCCAACTCTCCCATGGGTACACTTTTCTTGCCTAGTAAGACAATGCTTACATCCATATTTATTAATGCTTTTTACGGTTTACACTCTTTGAGTGCTTTATCAAGTCGTAAGCATAAATAAGTTTAATTTTTATCTCGAACATGTTTCGGTTACAATGTACTCGCATGTCCTTGTTTGTAGTTATGTGTGTGTAAACCTAATTGCGCAAACGGCATCTCTGCCTGCATCAAAAAACCGTAAAACCAATCGCCCGTGGTGTATTTTAAATTTGAACCTTCAAACTAGAAACCTTCAAATAGGAAATTATTTTACAGGCATGAAGACTAAGTTGATTTACCCAATTTTAAATTTTGTACTATCCGGAATGCCTGCACGTGTTGAAAACGTAAAATCCTTTAATTTTAAATAGCGTTCAAATAATTGGCGCACAATGTTCTCGAAATATTATTGGAGAGGAACTTCAAACGCAAAAACAAAAGGAATACATACCTGGGTTAACTGTGATGATGCATAGTACGATATTCTCGAGGGACAAATCGATTCTGGCTTGGAATAAATTGTTTCGGTGATTTGATCACCCATCGGCAGTAGTGCTGTTGCATATGGCGAAGGAGTTGGTGAGTTACGAAAACCTAGTAAAATGTGAAAAATTGTTTTTATTAAATTAGTTACTAAACGTTTGTGAAAATAACTTTTCTATATACTTATATTAACTTAAATAAACGATAAAATATTCAATCATAATATTAATTCCATATCCAAATAGATAGCGTTAAGTCAGCCCGGTTGTTGTTATTGTGGTCTCTAAAGCCTAACATGATACGGTAGCAAACTCGGGTTGCTCACCGATTTTAGGGTGGGTTTCTTAGCTAGGAGCTAACAGCTGATATCAAACAAAAAAAATTCGTGGTATTATTTAACTGCAAACACCTATATAAATTTTGTAACCTTTCTCTCTATTCGCATGGTATAGTCCGTCGGTTTAAGTCTACTCTCTCTAACACAGTAATTTTCATAAGTAGTATACGAAATTTTAAAACGATTACTATTATGTTAGTTATTAGCAATACTACTATACGTATACGTAATTTAGAAACGATGAGGAGCTAACCGATATTCTGGAGCACCAGCGATCTCATATAAGTTCACAGGCAGTTTATCATAAAAACGTGGTATTGATAATATAGTCTAGAAACTAACAGCCGAAGAGCCCTTTAATATGTCTAAAATCCAAGACGAATCCAGGGACTCGGTCCGATGGGCTACACCGTTAAGAAAAATATGATATTGGTAGTTGGAATGTTTGGAACATCGAATTTTACGCAATCAACTAGAATATCAAGCAGAAGGTAGTTGGTGTTTGTTGCACTGTATTTGTGAAACGAAATTGCTTTGAGGCCTAAGAAGCTTCTAAAAATCTTGTACCAAAAGTCTGCAGTACATGCTAGCCCAGGATATAAAACATTCATTTGACATGCTTCTAAACCGCTCACTATGACTTTCAAAGTAGTGGTAATACTAAGGTAAAAATGGTTGGGTCACATAAAATTCATAGCTTGAAAAAGTCTTTTGAAATCATATCAGTTAACTGACAGTGTTTTAAAAGTTTTGGTACCAGACTGGTACAACAGCAGAAGTGATGTGGAAAGTTGAGGTTCGCATTGAACGCAATCCACATCAAAATCGCAATTGAAAACAAATGGTTTCTTAATTGCATATATTAAGAGGAGCTGTGATCACTATGTGCTGTGAGCACCATTTCCAAGAAACAAAAGATTTCACAAAAATTCGAAAAAAATCAGGTTCGAAACTGAAAAGTGAAAATGTTAAAGAGGAAAAGTAGATGTTTATGCACTGTCCTGGTAAAGACGTTTCTACATTTTAGAGACACAACTATTTAAACAAGTGTTTAGTAGTTTCCGACAATATCAGATAGAAACTAGCTGACTTCTCGGTATTGGTTGTTTTGCTCTTGATTCAAACTCATCCAGGGTGAAGTACATTGTGTCTCTACAAAAGATAGCGGCAATATCTCAAGAACTTTTATGTTAACTTTATTAACTTAACTGTATGTTAACTTTATTTATTAACTTCACTTGTTCATAAGTTTAAACAAAACTTATTCAGTTTTTTATTATTCGTATATATATCTTACATATGTTAGATACCATGGATACCTTATATATCTTATGTTACACTATATTAGGCATTTTTTTCCTAATTATATATTAATAAATTATTAATATTAATAAATTGTTTTTATCACAAATAATTTTTAGACCTGGCAATTCTTTTTCATTTTTATCGCTTACAATATTTACATTTTTAATGCTTTTTAATAACCACTAACGATTATTGCTATTTTGTCTACCATAGCGTTTTGTGTTTTAGTTCTCCTCATTTTTAATATTATTTGGTTGTTAATAATCAGTTTTAATACTTTTTATAACTTTTACCTTGAACATAAAACTCATTAAATGGCATAAATAAATAAGTACTTACGCTCAAATATGCTGCAGGACTTTTTAGTATCTGAGGGATACTTATTAAGACTAGCTATAGTTGCGTACGACCCACTGTTAGCACTGGGTGGTCGCCCTAGCGGATCAAGACGTATAAAAACATTTTGATGGCTACCATAAGCTGCGGTTGTGAAGCTTGTGCTTTAATATTGAAAAATAAAGAAAAAATCAATGCAAATGAAATTACTTTAGAATTCAATTGAGCTTTCGAGTATCTTTTAACTTACTGCAAAGAATCCTGACGTAATTGTTTACGTGCACGCAGGTACATTGCACTTGCAATCAAGCCAACCACTAATACCAAACCCAATGCACAGGCTGCAGCGCCTAACAGTGCTGGACCCTGCGATGGTGCATGTGCAGGAGCCGGTGATTGATTTGGTGCTGGGAACATACCTATTAGGAAAACCAATATAATAAAATTGTGTAAGCTTATTATGAACTTATCTTCTGCTACTTTAAACCACAAACCTTTTAAGCAAACTTTATTGCGTTTAAAATGCAATCTTGTATCATTAGTCCGTGGTGGGCCACGTACCACCATGTTGACACTAAGTGGTACTTGCTCGGTAGCGTTTCCTGTGCAGGGCAGATGCACCAAAAATGTTTCAATTTGCGACGGCACTAAGCCCTTGTCTGGTATACTCAGTGTGGGTGCCGCCAAAGCCTCCTGCTCGTGCTCGAGCTCTATGGTAATGGCATAAGGTAGCTGCAATAGTTTGACAAAATATAGGTTAATGGAGTGCAAATTAGTTTTTGACTACCGTGCAGCATTACAGGCAATAGAAATTTCGAAATTTAAAGCTGTTTATATTTGTAGTTCTTTTTACCTTAATGCACAGCACAGCAACAAAATAATAGAAATTTTCCTCAATAATACTTACCGGGTATGTTGTCAGACTCTGCCATGAGAATTCCAGATCATGTACATCCGCCGGCACAGGTACGGTGAAATGCATTGCGTATGTGTTTATTGCTCCCTCGTGAACATAAAATAAATCCGCTTCCAAGCCTGTGTCAATGCACATATAACATATTTAGCGACGTCGGGGAGAGGGGGATTGAAGCGTGAAGTAATGTTGCGTGAAAGAAAGCAGAAAGAAAGTAATGAAAGTAAAGCATAAATAAAATTGTTGTATCACATTATAAAGCAATTTGCTATTGTATCAATTTTCTAAAGGGACCTTTTCATGCTTGCGAACAGAATCTTGCATGCAGCAGGGCTTCTGGCTGACATTATTGAACAACATAATACACAATGAAAGATAAATGGAGCGGTCCGTACGGGGCTAGTTCGAGTGTCTGCTCACTTTAAGACACTCTATACCTTTGCTGCTATTAATTTTCTTACAAATAACTAAGTAGCTCACGTAGATTTGTACGCGTACTCGTATGTGCGAGTTAGTTTCCGCATAAAAATTGAAATTTTTAGCATATCGGATTTTTCCGTATTTCCTTTTTTCTATTTCAACGCTTAAAAGGATAAATTCAACAATGGATTTAAATTGCTTTGTATATGTAAGATGTTGTTGTTGCAACATAATATTTTCATCCATTTTAAGTGGTTCCAAGAAATCATTTACAAAACAAGCATGTAACATGACGAGTTCAGGATGCTTGAATTTAAATAAAAACTGCCAGAACTGAGCGAGCTGCAAATAAGATTGATGTAATTCCATGAATACAATATCGCAAAATTGCATGATAAACGAGGGAAGTCAAGTCGGTTCTGTCTGTGCATATAAATATTTGTATACTTCGACAGCAATTCTAATTTTATAGAAAAAAGGAAAAAAGTAAAATTTTCACTGAAACGAATAGACAAGTATTCGTAAAACATGAATCCGATATCCAGAGATATTCACTTTATTATTTTATGTAGTTTCTTAAACAATACTTAAGAAGAATATACTAACTGGACCAGAAAACTAGAATATGTCGCGAAAAAAGTTAGAAATTCTGGCAACTATTTGATAATATTTAATTTTTTAATTCTTAATTTAATTCTTCTAATATTTAATTCTTTAATTCTTCATTTAAAATAACTACAAATACTTCTCAACCCGACAAAGATGATGTTAGTACACAGCTTCAATGCTATATTTGCCGAATGATTTCAGGTTGATTAATATAGACAGTTTAATCTATGTGAATATAATCACAAATGTGGTAAACTAAAACATAGTTATTAACAAACTATACCCACTAAAACTACAAAGTTTGATAAATATTTTTATTATTATCAACGAATCGAAATTACGACAAAAAATGATTATAATAATAAAATCAAAAACTTGGTTTTACAAGATCGAAAAAATTAAAACGATTTTTTTGTGTTAGAATCATGGACCGTGAAAACCAGAAAAAGTTCCAACAATATTATATTAGTCTAAGGAAATATTAATACTCTTAACATATCGAAAATATACAAGTTGTTTGGATGGCCAAAACCTTCATTTAGTGTTAAGGTAATTCAGAAAAAGAATATACATAGATGCGATTCCGATTTCCTGAGCATTCTTATTTGACTTATTTGGATTTTAGTAGAGTAAGCTATCTTAAGTTATTAACTTTTACGTTAATTATACTTTCAAAAACTACACGCGCTATCTATCAAATTTCACATTGATAACACAAATGACCAATGGCAATAAGAAGACAACTCAGGTAGTCATCTGAACCGATAGCGCGTTAACTTGTTGTTACTTTTTACTTTTAAGCTACATATTTAGAAAACAAGTTACAAGATACTCACATACAGCGTAATGAAAGTTGTTGACAATAGGTTACCATATTAAAATTCATATCGTCATTACTATTAACATGGTCTCTAATATTATTACGTGATTGAGACTAATTTTCATCATAAGAGAATTATCTCAAACTATTTTTGTGTTTAATACTGACGAAAAGATATCTCTTTAAAAACATTTCTATATATTATTTTAATCTAAAATGTTAAAATAGATAAAATAGATTTAAAGCATACGCCATCATACAACCACCTGTATTCTTATGTTTTTATGCATGGATAGTTTTCTCATTCTGTTTACACTTTTTGCCTGCTTTACATGTCATAAGCAAACCAAGGATTTTCCCGCTCATTAATGAGGTCATTCAAACATTGGATCTTTATAATGCTTGCTAACTCTATTTTAAGCACCCTTTATGTTTATTTGAATGTGTATAATAAAGTTAATCTACAACAAAAAACCATTCTCGAGCTCACTTGTCAATGTTAGAATCGAACCAGATCATGTACGATTAATATATATAAAAACAATTCTTTGTTTCCTATCTTCTTAATATTAAAGCTTAAACTTTAATATTCTATGCAAAATAAAGCAAGTAGATATGCTATTGTAAATTAAAAAATTGTTGTTAAAAAAAACAATTAGCTGAGAAGTTAAAGTTAAGATGAATATTATATAGAAACCTCTTCTTGTCTACGTCTCCATCATCCATCTTATTTAGTCATACATCAGCTATGTTTAAATAGAAAAAAGTTGCAAATCTTTGTAGTATATTCTTCTCGATTGTTTTAACGTACGAAATTGACAAAAAACATTACTCTTATAATATCGACTAATATACGAAGAACATTAACAAATACCTATTTGCTGTTACCCGGTGATATCTAAATCGGGTTTAAGTTCATCCACATTTCTCACATTACTGGAACCTCTTAGAAGTGTAGCCTTTGCTATATAATTTAAATCTCCTAAATTTATCCATACTATCTTAAGGAAACATTGTTCTCGGTATCACTAATCTACCCTTATCATTGCGTCTTCCATCATCCCAGCAGTAAAGTTTATATATAGTCCTGTTTTTTTTTTTGGTTAACATTACGGACGCGCCCCATTAATTAATTTCGGTAAGTCATTGATAGTAACTTTCTTATAGTCTTTCTTAGGTGCTTGGATAAGAGGCATCTAAATATAAAGCCTCTCTACTTTTATCAACTCTTAAATAAGTGGTCCAACTTATACGAATGTAATCAATTGGCTCCTTTAACGTTAGTTTTGGAGGTTAATTTATTTATCTGTATTTTTTGTTGCTTTAAACATGCTTATTCCATTATCTGGAGCAGGTAATATCATTAATATCACTGATCCTTCTCTATACTTTTATTTTGTATTTTTTAATGCTTTAAATGTGTTTCAAACATATATTATCTCATAACATTATTTTAAGAATGCACTATTTTCTATAGCACCGAATCCTTCTATAATACTATTTTCAGTCATTTGATGCTTCTGATATCAAAAACATAATCTTATTTCATTATCTTCAGGAGGTAACATCATCAATAACCCTGATTTCTATCTATACTTGTATTTTAAACCTTTTATTGCTTTAACAGTGATCATTCACTGTTCTAAGTGAGTTCAATTTTATATCTTTTGATGCCTTTTGATGAAAAAAAAATAATCTTATCCCTTTATCTTGAGAAGTTACTGTCATCAATATCCCTGATCTCTCCCTAAATTTCTATTTTGAACCTTTTATTGGTTTAAATATGACCAAACAATGACTTAAGTTATTCAATCTGCAGGGTAAAACTCACATGTATCTAAATTGTGCACTCCTTTACAGATGTTTTTAGGAGGTTAAAGTCGCACAATGCGTATATTAAATTTGTTAAAAATACGAAAATATGACGAAAATTTATATTTTTTGTTTTATGAACAAGTCAACTAATGTTAATATGAGTATTTGGAAATATTTCGTCTTTCAAAACCAAAAAAAGGATGAAAGATAATACTTATTAGGCTTGTGCTATTTTCTGCAAGATGATTTACTAACTCTACATTCCTCAAGGGAATTATGCCTAGTTTTTATTTAAATATATAATGATTTTTAAAATTATTTGGCTTCATGTATGAATTGACTCTCTTTTATCTTTCCCATGTCTGTGCCAATGACAATTTTGGTAAAAAAATTATAAGAAAAATGGTTGTTGCGAACCTTTTGCGTTCGAAAAATAATCTAAAAAAAAGGAATATAGCATCAAACTGCTTAAATAAACTGAAAATAAAAACTTAAAACCTACTTTCTATAAATTGGATTCACAAAATTGAAAATCCAATAGTAAACTTAGAAAAGTTAATTTAAACCATCTGTCTGCCCTCGTATGTGTACGCCATACATATTTCGGCATTAACCTGTCTGCGAACTTTTATGCAAAATACGATATTTTCATTAAAAAGAAGAGGTGTTAAATGTGTAAGGTGTGAAGTGTGAAGGAGCAGATCCTACTAGAATTACAAATAATTTTATTTTACTTTATTTGTGCTTAAGTGAAATTCTAGTATCGTTTTCTACTATAAAAGCGACTGAAAACTTGTGTAAATATCTGAAATCGCTTTAGCCCTTCAACGTTTGTTTGCTTTAAGTTTAGTTGTTTTCATCAACTTGTCAACAAGAAGAGGCAAAAACAGAGGCAGAAACAGTGGTAGAGGCAGAGGCAGAGACAGGGAGGAAGGCAAAAGCACGTTACGCATTTCCGTCGTTAAGACCGTTGAAATGGAGGTCCTTTGAGAAGCAAGACATGAAATTAAATTTCTGTAGTGCATTATTTACTCATTGGGATCATTGCTAATCCTTTGCATTCGCATTGACAAAAGTTACAAGAGCAAGCAATATTTGGCAGATTGGGACGTTGACTATTTACTATGCGCACACAGACGACGGTTCGCTTCATAAGCACACTCCCAGCTACCATTCCAGTACCATTCCACCATTCCATGTGCCAGAATAAAGCGTGTGGATGGGATGGGGTCTTTGCTTACGAAACTCAAAAGCCAAATGGGAAAAAAGCAACATTTTTCGCGCTGCGTTTGAGTCGGTAGAGAAAATGGATTTATAAATGGAACAAAGCAAACGATTTTGAAACAAATTTTAAATCCAATTACGAGAAACAGGGAAAAGCATTTTCGTTAACTTTCATCTTGTCAGTTTCATTTCATTCATTTCCTTTAACAGTTTTTTTTTCTTTTTTTCGTTCTT